TAGTAGTAGTAGTAGTTGGTGTTAATGTTGCAACTACTTCTGCTTTCGTCATTGCTTATAGTATATTTATTTTTAGCTGTAAAGTCGTCTTTTTGTTTGTTGTTTTGCCTGTTGCAATTATTGTTGTTGCTATTGTTGTCATCGTTGCCGTAAAATCTTAACTTCTTTAAAAGCTCGCTAAAAACTAGTGTGCGCTATCGGTGCTATGTTTCAGATCTACCCTATTATAAACCCGTGGAAATTTCCCACGCAGTATTCTACAAAAGTTGCTTATATACTTATATAGTTGTTAATACTGAGTAAATAAAAGATGTAGATAAAGATTATAAGGTATTATTATTATTATGAGATATAGATATAGTTAAGATACATAGTTTTGACTTAAACTCTAAAAGTTGTGACTTCTTGGGTTCGTAACAGTATCCATGGTTTATTCCATGCACCTCCTAACTTCTTCTCTACCATTTCATGACCAGCCCAACAATATTCCGGTGGCAAAATCATTGCATGACATTAGCAGATCAGCCTTGACAAAGAACATTCACTAAATAAGAACCTCACCAATTTTGCAGTTTGTTCTTCCTCAGAAGTATTCCTACGTCTCCTTCTCCAGTATCTTCGCCGGTATCTTCTTCCTTTGGATGTTATTTTAGTAACCAAAGTATCACAAAGTGAGCTCATTTGATTGACCGCATATTGTATTTGATAGATATCAATATTAAAGGCGCTTTCGACTTCACCTAGAATGGCAAATCCTAACAGAAATACCGAAAAAATGGCTAACTTGTTCATACTTTTGAAGGAAAGGCTACCGACTTGTATCGCTGCGTCGCGACKGAAATGGATTATCCTTTGATGGAATAGCTAAGGATGAATGTCCTGATATACTCGTTGAGGGTACGTACAACACACCTGTGTCGATAGCTAAAATAAACACTATTAAACACGCGAACACTTTATCAAAATGATGAGCAAATATTCCGGTTTTTCTATCAGTTATAGGTGTGAACTTGCGGAAATCAAAGTTAGCTAGAATAGGCAAAGCACGCCAAAGCGAGGAGGACTGCAAACAAGATCACACGGGGGCAAATAATTAAAGTAACCTTAAGTAACCAATGTAAAACACACAAGTACATTTAGGAAACTAAAGTAGAGGACTGGAAATTATAACTGTCAATTTAAATTAGCACTAAACGTAAAAATGAAAACTATTGATAATAAAACAGGCGAAAAAGAAGGCGAAAAAAAGGTTAAGTTGAAGAAGACGAAAAAGCCAGCCTTATCAGACATAAGAAAAACTTTTTTTCGACAAAACTTCAAACTGTGTAGATTTATTTGGCTAAGTCTTTTGGGGTTTAATTAAATTAATTTCGTAAAAAGCGTTTGTTTATTCAAGATGCTGGAAAAACGTAAACGGCAAAAGTATTGCGCTACGAAGACTTCAGTGCTGTTTATCTCTTGCCTAAAAAACTTGTTCCTACCCAACTAGACGCATGTAACTGAGATTTTCATTCTTCGATTGCACGTTACGTTATCGCTGCCATGTTGGTACCATTTAACAAAAGATTTTTCATTAAAATCCATTGTTAACGGTACCACGATGGCCTCCATGTTTTCGTCTTTTACTCTCTTGGGAATGCTTGCAACCCATCATTAGCACGAGCTAACTAGACCATTCTAAATTCAAACTCTTTTCAGACTATGTTAGTTTAAAGTCCCCTTTTAACCAACTTTTAAGCTTGACATTAAATAATTTGTAGAAATCTGTAAACCAAATTCGAATTTTGAACTTTTTATAGTAGTCGAATGGAAAAGAAGCGATGAGTGCGATATCTGTTCTCGAGTGAAATTATGAGGAATTCCCGAGTCAGACAATGAATTTTACTTGAATTTCATAAAAGATAGCAAAAAGAATGACTTATTTATAACATTTTATATGATTTAGGAGAACAAAAAAAGCAGCGCGGGTTYCCTGTATTTTCGTGCTATTCAGATTTTCAAATGTTTTCAATTTTGTCTAATTTTCGTAAACATAAAAGTCCTGTATCTTTTTTGCATTTAGTTGTCTTACTTTGTTCCTTTTTAATTAGTTTTCACGTTTATTTGGTGTTTTGATAAGAAAGAATGACCAAAATGTTGGTTCCCTGATTTTAGATGCGATTCCAAGTCATCAAATACCCAATCGTATACGTCATCTCTAGCCAATCAGCGCGCGCGTTTTTAAAAGATGAGCTACGACAATGCAAGGATTTCTAGCACAAACCCAATAAATGTCATACCATCTACATATCTATGTCTACAGTATAAATCGCGTACATGTGAACATCAATTGACAAAGCAAGTGAAATAATGAAGATCCAATATGCCTTCCACTTACTGTTCTTCTTTTTTTTTTTTTTGAATCTCCTTACGCGATGATAGCACAGATTCCGACTTGCAGGACGCAAATACATTGCTTTGGAAGAGCAGTAGTTGATAAATTGTTCAATCTCTGGAAGCCTTTGTATATCAATAGTGAAAGATAAGAGTTACCATTATAGGCAGAGAGATGAAGCATAGAAACAACATCAGGCGAATGGATCTCATTTTTAGATAAATATCACGTTACTCAAACACTAATATAAAGAATGAATAAAAAAATCTTACATCCTCGGTATATATACTTAAAGTTATGATGTCGGAAAGGAGTTGCACAAGGATGACAAGGATGTGTGCATGCTCATRGTTGTTAAACGTGTTGAACTTTTACTTCTCTGAAGCCTGTCGGTAATTGTTGACGCGGTTCAACAGGAACACGTACATATATGGAACATACAAAACACCGTAAATTTTGACCACATGTCGATGGCAATGTATCATTTAGACTAGAGTTCCGAAGTGAGGCAGGTGCAATTCTAACAACCAAACGAGATGGTTTTCTTATCAATCATTTTCTGCGTTTCGGTCTTCTACCTTTAGAAAATTACTGTAGCTTACATATGGGAAGGATTCCTTAGTAGCTCAGTTAAGTCCTAAAAATGCTATAGCAACCACTGCAACTGGTTACTATAATGCTACAGCAACGACTATTTTTACTATTTACTACTAGCGATGTTCCTGCACAGGGTCGAAGGAGTAAAATGAGAACTTAAATCTTCCAGCTCTTTGTTTAATTTTGCACTGGGAATGGGATTCCTGTGTTAATGAGTATGTGGTCATTGCAAACAGCGGTATTCAACAGAAAACGTAAGATAATGAGATGGGCTCTGCGCACTCATCAGATAGTGAACACAGACGCATACTTGCTTGGTGGGTTGGTTGGT